GTTGGTTTTTAAATTAAAACTCCATAAAGTTGATTTAGTTAATTGTGTGTTAGATGGTAATTTTAACTATAGCACATGGACATTTAAATGTGTGTGACTAATAATTCTACTGATGGTTTAGAAGATTTAAAGATAAATCAAATATACTTATGGGACATGGAAGAAAAGAGATTTTTCTACAAGTTATTTTATATGACTGAAAGTCACGATCTAGTTTCTATTAAATGTGGATGATATAATCAAGAAATAAAATATAATAAAAAATAAAATAAAATTATATAACCAGGCACTGAACTTGCATGTGTTTTAAACAGGAGCAGGAAACTTTAATTTTTGTTTCATTCTTGGTGCATGCAAATATATGGAAAGAAAACACAGGGCATGCATAAAGAAGGAAATAAATGCATGCATAATTTACAGCAATATATACAAATAATACCAAAAATGTTCTAAGGTTTTGTTGTTAAATACAGAGCATTTTTGTAGAACTGGAAGACCAGTTCTGAAACAGTAAACAGTAAAGCCAGTATATTTAGCTGAAAGTCCAAATCCAAGCATTGGTCCAAATCCATATTTAAGTATGACCTATTCATTTCAAATAAAAGTTCCTCCTAAGTACATACTCTTTAGAAAACACTCTGGCACCCCAGATCTTGACCATACCGCTTGTAAGTAAGTCCCCTTGAAATCAGTAGGACTTTCTTTTACACATATATATTTTGTTTCTGGATGTATTCCTGTTTAAAATCCAAATATTCAATTTGTTTTTAAATGCCAGTATTTAAATTTAACTTTAAAATACATACCTAGTATTAGTGTATCTATATATATATATGGATCAGATATTGGAGAATAGGGATGGGCATAAACCAGGAAAATTGAAGTTCATCCCGGTTCATGGTTTGTGGGGTCCTACGAACTGGGACGAACTCCCCACTTTGTGAACCGGTTCGGTTTGTGTGGTTTGTGAATCTTCCCTCCCTACTTTCTGTGGGCGGCAGCTCCCTGAAGCCAGCAGAATGGAAGCAAAAGGGATAGCTGTAATGCTGAAATGGCTTGCAAAATGCCATCCGTGTCATCCATCTCAGCAGAACAGAGGTACAAAGGGAGAACCCTGTCTCCTGGCAGTAGTTAAAGGATGGGCTACAACATATCTGTCTGTTATTTACACACAGATACGTATACCACCCCACCTACCCAAACACTCTCACACTAGAGCTACTCAAAATCAGAGTTATGTACAGGTTGGTGCAGCACTTCTCAGGGGAGTGAATGGCATTTACATGGGGAAAAAACATACTTAGGCCCCGTTCACACGGAGAAGTTGCCACGCCGAAGACACGGATGATAGGTGATTTTCCGGGCATGATCACACTGCAACATCTGGGAAGCGTAGTGCACCCGTGGCTAACCCGTGGCTTGTTGCCGATGTACTACTTTCCAGAAAACATGGGGCAAGGGCGGGTGTCTGATTGCGTTTCCGCTGGAAACCCGTGGCATCCGGCGCCCACTCATGTCCTGTTGCAAACCGGATGTGGGTTTTTTTAAAGACTCCACAGGATGCGCACAAATGATCGTGCGCATGCGCAAACTTCAGTGAGACAAAAAAAATCCCTTTTGCCACGGAAGTGGCGCAGTGCGATTGCTGGTGTGATCGCGCCCCGCTGCTTCTTTGCTGCGCTGCAGACTAGCCGTGTGATCGGCACCTAACGGCCTAACCACAGGACCTCGACAGGACATCTGATCGGGCTGCCGCATGTTACTTTGTTCCGGGACAAACAGCCACGCTTCCCCCCCGCATTTTCTGGCCCGTGTTATCATTACAGTGGGGATAATCCCTAAACCCTCCCAACTGAGCTGCATTTCTTGGAAGGGGCTAGTTTTGACTGCTTCAACAGCCTTGCTTGGGATGCTTTGCTCTGTAACTTAATTGCAGCCATTCAGAATCAAACCTGCTCCTATCTGTATATATCTAATTAAGACCAAAGAGAACTAATCATCCTTTTCCTCCATTTCCTAAAACCAGTCATCTGATTTCTGCTGATATCACAGCCTATTGTAACAATCCTGGAATCTGAGAAAAGGGAGGTGGGGAGTCATGTCTATTACATATGGAAAGACTTGTGGTTATGTTGCTAGTGTTAGTATTAAAATAAATACATTACCTGGCTCCACTGATTTGTGTTGTAGAGTGCCGTCAACATATCTGGTCGCAGAAGTTCATTACATCCATGTTGCAGGTACAACTTGGCACTAGACTTATATTTTTTCTGTCCATGCAAATGGCAATGAAGCATAAAAGAGACTTGTGAAGACAACAGAAAGAGCTCTAGATCCCAGAATGATGAGATTTAGGCCTTTAGCATACTGATGTACTCTCAAAATTGCACCAATGAACTCTAATAGCAGAAGTGAAGTGGACAGACCCTTTTTAACTTACCAGGGAAGTCCATGGTAGACCATTGTCCTGGAGGGCCACTGGTAGCCAAGAGAAAATTGATCAACTTGGGTTTGGTTTGCTCCAGGGCTATTTTAATGCCTTAGCCCACTCTACAATGACTTACAAATTAATTTAAAAGCAGGAGCATCAGATTGTATAATAACCACATCTCCATACTATAGAGCAACTTGAATCATTAACCAGAGAATAAAAGATATATTGATTTTGTGTTATTATCAAGCTTGACATCAGTGGACATGGTTTAATGAAGTCATTTCATTGTACATTGGTGCATTGTTCATGAGAACCCATCATGTATGGCTAGGCACACTCAAAAAGCGGCTGTGCTGTTTGGGTGGCAAAGTACAGATAGTGTCTGATACAAGCAGGACAAAACGTTTTCAATATCATAGGCGTGACCTATGACATCATTGGTTGCAGGCATGTCATAGACAGATGACGATCACGTCAAGAAGTGTGACATGGCCACATTTTGGATGTCCTGGCCAATACAGTCACAGTACCTGACTGCTTAGTTCGCCTCCCAATTTGGCCAGCAAAGTTCTAGGGTCATCCACCACAATGGAATACTTATCCTTCTTCTTCTCATAATCAGATTTGTAAAGTTTCTGCTCAGAGCAGCATTTTGGGTGATAGCAAAGTAAAAGGCAGGAGGTACAAAGAAATCTTGAGATAGATGCTTCAGTAAAACAAATATTCTAAATCTACTCATTGAATACATTCAGTCAGTTCTTCTAAAAAGATTGGGGGGGGGGGACCAGAGAGCCAATATAGACTATTAGAAAAAAAAATCATACATTAATTCTGACTTTTAAAGATACGCTACCACTACAATGCTAAGTAAAGTTACACCCTTCTAAGCCCGCTGATTTTAATTAATTTAGAAGAGTATAATGTTGTTTAGGATTACACTCTACAGGTTTTCAGACCCATAGTCCTGATGTGCTACCCCCAAGTAAGTGGCATTCTAATTTCATTTGCATTCATCAGATTTGCAAAATCTATATACATTTTGAATTATATATATATATAAAAATACATACACAGTCTGTGAGATTAACTTAATGGAAGCTGGCTATTATATGCCATTTTGGAACAGCACCATTTATGATGGCTGCAAGCTACAGCACAATCATATATACCTAAACCCATTGCCTTTAATGGGCTTAAGAGATTTGGAACTCTGTGTTGTATTGGGCAAGAACAGAAGACACATCTGCTTGTACAAAAAAAACCTCTATGATGTTCATTGACTCCTCCCAACTGCAGTTCTCTGCCCGCACCTTACTGAACATCATTCCAGGGGTCCCCAGACCTTCAGGAGTAGCTTTTGGGGGGCAAAGGAAGAATAAGACAAGCCCTGTTCCACTGAAGGAACCCCACCTGAGGTTCTTGACGGCACAGTCCTAAACAGAGTTATACCCTTCTAAGTCCATTGAACTCAGAGGGTTTAGAAAAGTGTAACTGTTTAGAACTGCACTGTCAAGTGTCCCAGCCAAAGGAAAGAAAACTAATATTCTCATGATTTTCATATCCCTTCTTCCCATACAGATGCACCTTAGTGGATTTGGGGGTGGGTTGATGGAACAGCAGGAGCCACTCCATTTCCCATACAGATTCAGCATGTCATGTAAGAAACAGATTCTGAAACATGGAATGGGATCCTGTAATTTCAAGAGAGAGACAATTCAGGGATTGCCCATAAGAAAAAAATCTAAAATTGTACTCTAAAATTTGACCATTGCTTGGAAGCCAATCTCACTGAATTCTGTCAAATTTGCTTCCATGAAAATGCACTTAGGCTCACAACCAGAGGGTCTCCAAATTACTCAGGAAGTCTAGACTAGGGATGGGCACAAACTGGAAAAATATGGTTCATGTCTATTTGTGGCCGAACCACAAACTGAATTGAACCGGAACCGGTTCATGGCCCTGCAAACCCTGTTGAAAGGAACTGACACAAACTGCTTTAAAAGTGATGAATTTTGCTTTGTGGTTCAGCTCATACCCATCCCTGGTCTAGACTTCTTAATAGAATTGTCTTGTGATATCTATACTTGTTCTACTTACCTCATTCATTAGCTGAGTGGCATACTTCAAATGGTTATTAATTGGACTGTCAGCAACATACTTGAACTTTGATTTTATCTTTTCAAATGATTCCTTATACTTATACTAGAGGAAACACACAAAAAATATTATTATAAGGGGTACAATCAGAACTCCCAAAAGGAGGTATGTGTAAAGTAGTCATTGCAATGACTCCAGATATGGATATATTTACAAGAGAACTTTTTTAGAAAATGAGAGGTTTACTGCTACTCAGTGTGTTTGTCCCACAGGACTAGGCTATACAGCACTGCAATTTGAAGACAGAACAATCTTCTAGAAACGGAGTAAAAGTTACAACAAATACAATACCTTTATTGGCATAAAAGAGTAAAAGTTTCACAGTTAGGTAATTATATTTGAGAGCACTTAAGTGAGCTGTTTCAAAGGAGTGTTTGGACTCAGTAGCAGATAGATTTAAACATGAGAAGAGTGCAATTATCCCCTAAATAATAGAATATTATTAATGATAAGTGTAGCAGTGATGTGAGATAAGTGCAGGCAATGATGCTATTAACAATAAGTGTAAGCTATCATCAAATAAATGGCATAGTAGGGTTTTCTTATTGCTAAGTAGGGGCACAATCCACAGAGATTTTCTTTTTTGTATACGCTACCAAAACTGATGGGCACTCTTGCAATTGTGTCAAGGAGACCTGAACAGGAGTCCCCAGATAACTGTGTCCCATTATCATGCTGCTGTGCTGCCTTTGGCATTAAGTGGGAATTCAGCTAAGTTCTGTATCTTTGAGTTGGCAATGGAAAGTTAAAACAATTAGTATACCTTGGGTTTTCTGAACCGTGCTTTAAAGATGAATTTTTTTAAGAAAGTGTCTGCCTATAGTTGGATGGATGTAGAGCGTCCCACTCCCTGCTCAGTTAGTAGCTAACAAATATGGAATCTAATGCTAGAAAAGAAAATCTGTCTTTTGAGAAGACACACATACCGGACTGTACAGTGCCTTGTTCTTCTCTGCCAGCAGAAGATCTGGAGTATCCCAGGCATAACAACCAATGCCTTTGAGCCATGCTAAGTCTTCCTTATATTTAACCTGTAAAAATAAAATCATAACAGCAAGAATTACATGATCAGACTATTCTCAAGAGGGGACCAAATTGCCAGTTACTACTTCTGAGATAATAACTATATCAAAATCAGTTGAAATGCTCAGGCATAGTTGTTAGTTTGTTTTTTAATTTAGTCCCCGATCCCAAGCCCACACAGTGGGAGTTTAAGCTCTTTATTGTCAACAGAATAGAGTTTCAGCTAAATGCACTTCAGGTTGAGTTGGCCAAGGAATCACTCCAAACAACATGGTCCTGTTCAGGTCATTGGAATTTTACACCAGTAACTTCTTTCATAACTGCAGTTTTAGTGAAACAACACAAAACTGTTAATGCCATTTTTCTTAATGGATTCTTAACGTGTGCACTCATTAGTGACAGGATTACAAACCTGTCCTAAGCCCCAACTAGAAAGGGCTTCATGAAACAGTGTAAAACTCCTCTGTTAAGCAAGGAAAACTATTAATTGGATGGATAGATAGATAATGATAGAGATAGAGATAGAGATATGTGTACGTAGCCATTTCAATAGCCATTTCAAATTTCATTGGAACCCATATAACCCTTTTCTTCATTCAAAAGCTGATGGGTGGTATTGCCCCATTATCACTTCATTGCGTTGCTCACTGAAAGGGGAAAAGTTCGAAACAGAACTAGAAAACTAAACACTTTAAAATGCCTTTTAAATGAGCCATTCTATGCCCCATTAAGTAACTCACAGCAGGATGTAAGGCTATGTATAGGTAATATCTAGGTAGCAGGATCTATTCACACTCACATCACTAACTGCATCAGTAACAGCACGATGATGGAAGTGGTCTGGCCGATCTGGAATTGATCTCCAGATTCCTAATTGGCTCAAGTACTTTTCTTTATATTTCACCTATAAAAAATTAAGCATGGTGAAAAATACAAGACAAATTAAAATCACAGCACATTAATAATCTAATATTATGATATTTCCAAATCAAGGATATGATGGCACAGAGGGCTATGTGAACGAAGGGATTGTGAGTGAGTGGGTAAAACTGGGCAGGCCTTAAGATACAGTGCAAACAATTTGGGACTGGTGACATCGGCATAAACTCAGAGTGAAGAATGGGAGTGGAGCAGAAAGTAAGGTCACAGAAGCAAATGCTGATGAACAGGAAAATATTGGTGTTGTCAAGCATAGTGGCCAAGGATAAGATGAACTTTTGGATGTGTAACAAATATCAAAAGGGTAGCAAAGATGCTAAAAGATCACTCACTTTCTGCAACAGCAAGGAGAGCTATAAAACCATTTCCACAAAATATGTGGTCATGGGAAATGCTGTAGATGTATTTATATTTGTGTTCAACATCTTTGATATCTTCCTCTTCCCATGTATATAATGCAATGAAAATCCATTATAAGTCTTGGTTATGATAGACAGGACATTAATGAATCCGAAAAGCCACTACATACCTTGCTGATATCATCTGTGACCTTGCGATGGTATACAATATCCAAGGCATCCTTCACAGTGTGATATTTACCCTTTGCTTGTTCAAATGTTTCTTTGTAGCGCAGCTGATTGAAAACAGAGAGAAAATGTAGGAAGGCATTAGTTACTGCAATTTATTAAATACTGCTGAAGTGGTATTCAGCCCCATATCACTACTGTAAGTAATCACTTCCAAAATGCTATTTTTCATCCAATGTCCTCAACTATTGCCATCCATATAGATCCTAACATAAGTAACACCAACAAATTCCATTTCACATCAGAACAACTGCATAAACCTGGTTTTTCCCAATCCATAATATGGCTTCCCCTGTTGTTCCCCAATCCAGAATATGGCAACCTTAATCACAGGTGCACTGACTTGTGCAGTTCCTTTCCTGGAAAAAGCTCTACCACAAACACCAGTTGTACTATGTGTAGTTAACAAAGATGGGTATCTAAAGGAACTGGTTGTTTAGGCACCATTTATGGAAAGTTTAGGGGAAAGCCTTTTGGGGTTTGTTTTTCCATTTTAAAAAGTGTACAATTGTAGCTATACAGAGATGTAGGGATAGGGTGCAGAATTAAACTAAATAGTCTATGGACTATTAGCCACATGTGGCCGTGATCTGCAGATCGCTAAATCTGCAGATCAGGGCCACACAGAGGCTAAAGAGATTTTTCTGCATACTTGGGGGACTCCTTAGAGGTGCTGAAAAAATCTGAAATTTAAAAAAAAAATTAAAGGGGGGTTTAAATCCTCATTGCACATGTGCAGATAATGCTCTTATCAGATGAGGAGCCAGAGGACACTGGACCCAGCAGCCGCAGAGGATTCCAGCAGCTATGTCAGGCCAAGCCATAGAGAACTTCAGCAGCTGCAGTGGCAGAAGATGCTGGCAGCCACACTGACCTCAGCAGCGGCCATGGAGGACTCCAGCAGCCATGCTGGGTTGGCTATGGAGGCGGAAGATGTCGGCAGCCACACCAGGCTTGGCAGCAGCGGTGAAGAATACAAGCAGCTGCCCCCAGCCTGGCAGCAACAGCAGGGAGACCCTGAGCTGATTACTAGCTGTGCCCAGCTTTTGTGCTGGGGGGGATATATGATTCCCCCCTGCAAGTCTCTCCCCCCATGAGTTTCTCCCTCCACTAAGCCATGTGGGAAATTAGCAGCTATGGGAGAAGGGATCCCTCCACGAGTATCCCTCCTGTGACTTCCACCGCCCTGCCCCCATCAACCCAGCACACTACCGCCAGCCTCCTGGAAGGTAGGTGAGGAAAGTAGCAAGGGTGTGGGGGGTGAATGAGGTGTGGGGTAGTGAAGTGCCATGGGAGGGGTGGATGGGAAGAGAGCAAGGGTAAGGGTGAGTGAATGCCAAGGGTGGGAGGTAATGGAGTGCTAAGGGTAGGGGGGGTAGGTGAGAAGAGAGCAAGGGTGAGGGTGAGTGACTGCCAAGGGTGGGAGGTAATGGAGTGCTAAGGGTGGTGGGGTAGGTGAGAAGAGAGCAAGGGTGGGGGTGAATGAATGCCAAGGGTGGGAGGTAATGGAGTGCCAAGGGCGGGGGTAGGTATGGAGAGCATCAAGTGTGGAGGGTGAGTGGAATGCCAAGGTTGCAGGGGGGGGGTAGGTGGGGAGAGTTGTAAAGGTGGGTGTGAGTGAAGTGTCAAGGGGTGGGTGGTAGGTGGGGAGAGCAGCAAGGGCTGGGTAGACTATTGGAGAAAAGGTGGGGGGGGCAAAAGAGATGGGGGTAGATTGACAGATAAGGGTAATGGGAGAAAAGAGTGAAATGGGGGTAGGTTGACAGATAAGAGGAATGGGACAAAGGGAGGAGATGGGGTAGATTATCAGAGAGGGGGTCGATTAACAGAGAAGGGATGGGAGCAAAAGAGATGGGGGTAGGTTGACGGATAAGGGGAAGGGAAGAAAGAGGGGGAAGACTCTTAAAGAAGGAGATAGAGAGAAGGAAGCAAAGAGGAGGAAGGGATGCAGCCTCTCCTCAAGTTCCTTGCCAGTTCCCACTTGTACCTATATAATTCTCTCTGGAATAATCCTCTCTGATTTAGTAAAAACTGGCTACTAAGTTAAACTCAAGATCATCATAGTTTTCATTTCATGAGTTTTCAGCTCATTGTCTCCCTGATTATGATCTAATGTGTATGGATAATACTTACATCACTAGCATTCAGGTAAGCTCTCTTAGCTCTGATGAGGATCGGTGTATCAGGGACTGTTACATACTTGTGCTTCATTTTCTCATAATTGCTTTTATATTTTTTCTAAATTGTACAGGGAAAAAGAAAAGCAAAGAAGAAAAAAATAACGAACATCAAGTTGTTCAACTAATATAGCATTAATATCACACAACCTGGGATTAAAAACAGAAGGGTCCTTTTATGTACAAGCTAATTATTACCGGAAACTAAATTAACTCTTGGAGAAACATTATTAAGCAATTTGTTTTTCATTTTCATAGAAGGCTCTGTGAGCCTGCCATGCATTTTTGTGTTTAAAATGAGTACAGTGATCCATCAGCAGAAGGCCTTGATGGATGTGGATTATTGCTAAATTTCCCTCCTCCCTGCTGTCCTTTCCAGACCTTTCCAAGGTCAGGAGACCCACATGGATCAACAGCATTGAAGGCTTCAGTGAGGAGAGGGAAGGGGGTGAAATTGCTTTTCCTCTCTCTTCCATCAGCCTATAAAGCAGGATTCCAAATCATCCTGACTTGAAATTCCAAGAAACAAACCCACAGCACAAATAGAAGAGATGCTCAGACATGCTTTTTTGTGTTCTGAGCAAACAGCTCAAGGACTTTTCTGTATAAAAATCCATCAGGCTTTTGGGAGCCGCCACCACCAATGAAGAACACCACCAATGAAGAACATAGGTTGGTTAAAAGGGAGGGGGCCCTGGACCCTGAAAATTGCCATTGACAGCCTTAAAGAACAGCGAAGCCTGCAGGGACATCCAACTAACATCGAGAACTGACTGTGAGCAGAGAACATTCTACACTGGCTGAAACTGCTATATGATTATTAAGAACCACTAGCACTTTATTACGATTTTATATTTGTTTTAACTATAACTATGTTCTATTGTAATCATCTGCTTTTATGTGAGCCGCCATGAGCCAGCTTCGGCCAGGAGGACAGGGTAAAAATTTGAAATAAATAAATAAATAAATGAGGACTAAATAGCACAGAAGTTCTTACCTCACTGGCAAAGTCCTTCACATGCTTAGCAAGGTCCAAGGCAGGTGTCCGATTCCCAGCATGGTGATGAGGTCTTTCTTTGGTGGCAAGTTCTACATACAAATACTGTAGAAAAGATAGAAACCATGAAATGTCAAATAAGTACCACATGAAGGCATTATACTAAAAAAAACAAAACAGCCCTGTTTATTTTCACTTTTAATGCGCTGAGAGGTGCCAAGCTTCATCACCTCTTCTGTAAACCACTACCAGGATTGAAAAGATGTGGCTCAGCACCAAGGGCTCTCCTTCCCAGTCCAACTCACCACTAAACTTGACATTCCAACATGCCCAGTGCCTCAGGGTGCTTGTCAGTTCTCCCTACCCACCCCATTCCTGCCAAGCTAGTCATGGCCCAACCAGTAAGAGACCAAGCCTATTTATACCCACCACCCCAATCCCACGTACTTATTTCTTTTTGTCAGATCTTATCACCCTCTCCATTCCAAAGGACCAGATTAACTTGAAAATGATCATAAAGAGTGGTGCTGTATTGAACAGGAATTCCACACAGGCAATCAAGCCTCATTTCTATTCATTAAAGGTTCTTACTTTGCTCTGTAGTTTTTGCCCCGCTTTGGCCCTGTGGAAATCTGGTGTATCAAGGATAGAGGTGTACTTGGTCTTTTGCTCATTGCCAACAGCTCTGTACACAATCTGCAGGAAACACAACAATTTGGTTATATCTTCTAACATAAATCTTCAGATTTCAGTTAAAGAACTTAATCAAAACAGCAAAAGTGTATCTAATGCACCAGAAAATGAAAACACAAAATACAATAGCCAGTACACATGAAATCTGATGTGTTTGAGTGTGGATCCATTTATATCGCTAATCGAACTGAGTTACCTAGAGATAATTTTAGCACATCCAATTGATAGATAGGATAATGGAGGTTTTTAACAGATTACACTAAAAAAAATAACGTCAATAGACTTTATCAATCTCAACATACTGGACAGAGTGAAACCAATTCAGTCAACTCTGTAGAGAATATAGCATGAATTTAACAGTACTTTGATTGCTACAGTTATTTATGACAACTAGTTTGTGTTTGCCTCTAACCTGGGTAAGTTTCAGGCAAGCTACAGCTGTGTGTAGGTATGCTCATATAACCAAGGGTTCATTTAAATTTTTCTTCAGTTAAACATTTGTTTTAATCATAGAATAACTGAATGTGTCAAACTCACATCACTCAAATGGGTCTTTAGCTCTTGGATAGTCCTATACACAGGCGTGTCCAGAACCACGTGGTACTTGTCCTGCAGCTTCTTTGCAGAATTGGTGTACACATAATGTGACTGAAAAAGAAAGCATTTCTTTCAAAAATACGTAATCTCTAATATTCTCAACAACGCAAAAGTAAATTGAAACCTCACAAAGAAAACTAATGTAGTAACAGCAACATATGATAATACTGAGCAGAGAAGGGTATAGTGGTTAGTGTCGGGCTAGGATCCAGATTTAGATCCCTTCTCTGCCAGGGAAGCTTGCTGGATGACCTTGGCTCAGTCACAGACACACAGCCTAATCTACCCCTCGGGGATAAAATGGAGGAAAGGAGAATGATGTAAACTGCTTCGAGTCCCCATTAGGGAGAAACGTGGTATATCAATGAAGCAAATAAATATAACTGAAACTTGGAGATTTACAATTCACCAGCACAACATGAAATGCTGCAATGGTTATTTGTCATGGGCATGCAGCACAGTAACCCTCTTTCCTTCACTAAGACCGTATAATGCATGGGATAAGAAAAATGTTGCACTGTGTGCATTCACTAATCACATAGGAATAGTACGTTAAAGCTGCATCTGGACTTTCCAAGAGACTCAAGGGCATTCAACAGGAAGCATGAGAGAGGAACACGTCACAGAAGGCATAACTAAACCGGCCCATGACAGCACTGCTGGTTTGGCTGTACGTTTGCTGTGGTGCACACACTGATCCTACCATTCCATTTATTCTAGTAGCAATCACTACAAGGATTGTAGGTATTATGTGCATCAATTCAGTGTATCTGTTAGTTGCAAAAGACAGATGTATATAGCTGATCTCCTAATATTCTTTTAACTGAAACAGAGAGGTGCAATAGATTGTACTGTAAATGGAAGAGCCAGATTGCATCATGGGAAGCCATGAAGCTCACTTATGCTGCTTTATTATCTTTCATCTTTCTCTCAGGGTCGAGATAGATAAAATCAGAATATAAGGCACATTATTTACTGAAAAGTGATACAAAATTACTATTAATAAAAACGTTAACTCGGCTAAACCTATGTCCATTCCCCAAACAACAAACTATTGACTGAAAGTTGCAGAAGAGACAGGGAACAACTCATAACATTGTGCCAGCACTGCAAGACCATTAGTGCTGCAGGAAGGATATACAAATGCCTTGGATTGGAATGCTAGTACCACTGAGGCATGTAGATTTACATGAATAACAAGTAGAAAGGATTCTGATCTTCAGAGTACCTGATTCTATGAAATACTGTTATTGTGCCATGAATTCTGAATGACTGTGGGGGATGTAAGTCTCCTGCTTTGTTCAGTAGATAATACTGCATCATTAAAGCAACCTTTCCATGAACATGGAGCACATTAAAGTCCATAATAACAAAGTGTACTTTAATCAGATAGAAGAGGCCAGTGGCTCAGTGGTAGGGTGTCTGCTGGGCATGCAGAAGGTCCCAGGTTCAGTCCCCAGCATTTCCAGTTAGAAAGATCAGGTAGTAAGTGATGTGAAATATCTCAATGTGAGACCTGAAGAACCACTGAGAAGACAATACTGACCTTGATAGAGCAGTGGTTTGATTAAGCGTAAGGCAGCTTCATATGTTCAAGAGCAAAGTGATAACGCATGCATCTCCTACCATCCAAGGATGGATCTCACTTGCACACCTATAGCTTCACATTCTGCAATAGTTCTGGACAGCAAGGGCAGTCTAATCTGTTACCCAGTCTAGCATTATCTCTCATTAGTTGTGTACCAAACAATGGTTTTTCAGATCTTGGTATCTAGATGCACCAAAACATACTTGGTTACAGAAAAGAAAACTCACCCAGAGATTACGCAAGTGCCGAGCACGGACCATATCAGGAGTATCATACAGGAAACAGCCCAGGCCTTTCAGCCATTCCAGATCCGCTTTGTATTTAATCTTAAAAAAAGAAGGTATTTTTAATACAGTTCTTAAGTATTTAAGAACAGGTATAGCTAGGACAAGAAGTTATGAGCTAGAAGATCCCTGGTCCAAAACTTGTCTCTACCATGAACTCACTAGGTGGCCTGAGGCAAGCGACTCTCCTCACAGTTTCAGTGACTCTCCTCCACATGTAGAGTGTGGAAATAAAAATACTGACTTACATCACGGGGAGTAAACAAAAATGAATGCCTTCAAAGCATGCAAAAACAAAGTACAGCAGAACAAGAAGGTACTATAAAAATAAGGGTACATAGAGAACTGCAAATTGACAACACCACCTGAACCCACAATAATAAAAAAATGTGACAAGCATACAATTGTAACCAGTATTTAACGTACCAACAATGTGTGTAAATACATAGAAAAATATAAATGCATAAATATATGATACATCAAAAAGGAGTAAATGCACATGACAAACTATGAATTGCCTGCCAAACTCTGTATTGACTAGATCTTCATCAGGCCATTTCTGATCTGTCATGTTTATTCAATTTTAAAACTGCCACCAATTCAAAACAAGGAGACCCCAAAAAGGTGCCAGTCCCATACACTGAAACCCTTGAATTTTCATATAGTGTTAAACTGAAATTGAAATGTGCATGAAGATAGCCTAGAAGTAAATGAGAGGATCAATCTAGCTAGCTCTTACATCACTTGTAATCTCTCCAACGTAACGACTATGCATTGTTTGAGGAGTATAGGGAAGGGAAATCAAGTGCCCCCGCATCTTGAAGAAGTCGGTTTTGTAGATTAGCTGAAAGAGAAAAGGAAGATGGAAATGAGGGAGGGTCCTCTTCATATCAAGTATAATAACAACTTTGAGTTTCCACTGAACAAGGGAAACTTACATCACTGACAGCTTCCTGGGTAGCTTTCACTTGGCGGATTTCTGGCGTATCAGGTGTAGTGTGGATTTTGTCCTTATTTTTGTGATATATCTCCCGATACAGTCTCTGTAAAATAGCAGAAAGTGTTCCAATAAGACACAGCATGTTACTGCTCCCTTGATCTAGAACTCTTTGCATACTCTGCACTTATTAATGTAATGCTTACATTTGTACCCCACCATCCTTTCATTATGGAACTTAAGGTAAGATGAACCACAAGCCTAAGAACACTTTCCCAGGAGTCAGCCCCACTGAATAAAATGGGATTTTACTTCTGAGTAGACCTTCTTAGACACATACAGAGGCTTCACAGAAGATTTATCCAGACACTAATTAGAACCATGGCCCAGGCTAGCCCAATCTTGTCAGATCTTGGAAGCTAAGCAGGGTCAGCCCTGGTTAGTACTTGGATGGGAGACCACCAAGGAAGTCCAGGGTTGCTATGCAGAGCCAGGCAATGGAAAATCACCTCTGGATGTCTCTTGCCTTGAAAACCCGATGAGGTTGCTATAAGTCAATTATGACTTGACAGCACTTTCCACTACCCACTAGCAATGTTCCCTCTAAGCTATGGAGTCCTGTGAATAAAAATTCTACTTTGTGAGCTACTGGCATTACAGTTGTGAGCAGGTGATTTGAGTACTGCATAAATTAGTTTGCTCTGGCTAAGACAAAAATGTGTGAGCCAGAGGCTAAAAATCCGTGAGGTAGGTCACACTAACTCAGCTTAGAGAGAACACTGCCCATTAGACCCACTCCTGCTTCGGTAAAGTTGAAGTCAGACAAAATGTACATGATGTGGCTGGTAAGGCTGATGATGTCTTGCAGGATATTACGTTCTTGAGTCTTGATGGGGTTAAATTGGCAGAATTGGTTAAGAATTTGAAGAATTTGATTTTCCCTCCTGTTAGAAAACAAGTGGGTTAATTTGGTAGGAGTGCTTTCTTCCATCTTTACATGGAACCTGCCTTCCTTTTTGGAGGCAGCTGACCTGACCATGGTGACTCATGCAATTGCAATGTGCTCTACATAGGGCTACCCAGGTGATTAGGTGTTAGAGGAGGTTTGTCCTCACTATTTATTTCTAATGTGGATTTTTATCTTTTTAATTGATTTTAATTTTTGTAAACTACTTTGAATCCATATGGACAAAGGAATATTAGGAAGAAAATGAAATAAAACAAAAAAATGAACTTGAATAAAATTGCTGGAAAATGGGTATTCCAGTTATATCTTGGGCTTAAAATATTCACATTAATTTTAATTGATGGAACCAATCTATGGGTACAAAGGAATGTATGTGCACATGGCCAAACCACCTCCACCAAAATCAATATTATAGGCAAAGGAATGTTCTGTGGAATTCTGATGCCTGCGACATAGATTGTTGCATAAAATCAAAGGTAACTCACTGTTCTCACTGTTATCTTCCTAGATGTTCTTGTTTTCCCATTTAAATGTAAATGAGCAGGGAAAATCAATGTACTTATACACCAATGAGATTTGGTAGTCTGATTGGCAAAAAAGCACTCAGTTTAAATAAAACACCCAATTTAAGAATCAATATAATGCCATGGACTGTAATAGCAAATATGCACAATTGGAGCATTGCTTAACATTTACCTACAGGCATGTTACAATCACTAATTTTTCCATTATAAGAATAGAGATTTTATGAAATAATGTAATATACATGATAGAATAATACTACTTTGATAACTCCATTACTGTAGAACCCAGCAGTGTAAACACTGTGCATTACCTCATTGAGAACCTTATTAACCTTCCTTATATTTACAAAGGGAACAGCTTTGGGTCCAAAATTGTAGCCTTTACCCTTGATATGTTCATAGACTTCCTTATATTTCAGCTGAAACATAAAATAAGCAAAAATCAGATTCATATCTCTTTAAGAATAACAAGGTATAAATGAACCTAACATTGAAAAGAATTTATATTTTTATTTATTTTATATATATATACACACAT